GCGTAATGCTGCCTGTGCATCGCTCGCGCTGCACATAGAGAGGTATGTGTGTATCTACGTGCGGTGGAGGTAGCTGAATTGTACTTCTATTGATGCTTTCATTAAGATACAATGGCAATATTAGCCTCCTGGATATGGGGCATGTGGCAATGCCCTAGGCAATTGCAGTCCTGTGTGACAGTTATTGTCATGGAGACATGAATAGCCAGCACAAGCGTCTGAGTGAATGTGCTCTCAGCGGGTGCGTTAGGGTGATTATGTTTCCCTTCTGATATCTTTCACTGCTTACGATGATGCAAATGGACAGTATACGTCCCAGCAAAAGGTGCTCCCCTTGGGGGAATGGCAAATCATTTTCACGCAATACGTGAGCGACACCATGTTCTGATGCAGCGGCTGGATCTACAGCGGGTTGTGGGGATTTTTGAATGCGCTGAAGTTGACTCGGGCTATGTGGTGTGGAGTTCTCCTGCATGCATTTTTATGAGGGTTTCCAAAGGCACTCATAAATCTGTTATATGCCTTCACGCTCTCGTCGACCAGACCACCAGCAGCGGGCATTCAGCTTAATCCATCGGTTTTAGCCAGATAAAACGACTGAGGATACAAAGTTCTTTCGGCACATGGCGTGGATCCATGTGATTGTTGCAGATTCACTGAGATTTGCAAAATATTGTGTGGTGTTAAATTTGCCTCTGCTTTGCTGTCCCATATTGTCATGTAGGGAGGACGCAGTTGATATTTTGCTGGAGTCCGCTTACCTATACGAATGCAATGAAGTGCCTGCAGACGGTGCGTCGCGAGGTGAAACTGCACCTCTACATTTTCCTACAGCCCCGTATTGCCCTTGGGTGTTTGTTTGAAGCGAAAACGAAACCGCTCGCCGAACGCCGAGCCTTGAAATGGTCTGCCCTGAAGACAAATCTCCAACGCGGGCGTCTGCTAACTGTTGTTGTTCAGAGGCAGCGTGCGTGTGAAGAGCTTGCGCTTGTGGCGTCCAGACACCCGAAGAGAGGTGCGCTGGTTGTGTGTGCTTCTAATCTTACAGGCCCCTTAAGCACATTTACGTAGTATTCCATAGACAGCGTGTGCACTAATTGCATGAAGGAAGAGAGTTCCCGGTTGCAGTGCGGCAACAAAACGACGGAAGCGTTGTGCAATCCTCCGTTGATTTGTTCCTTTAGGCACAGGCTAGCAGAAGCAACGTGCGTAGTGCAGGAGCAGGCTGGAGAACCACGTTCACGTAAATCATGGGTGGTCTAGCATATCCGACGAGTCCTCATTCTTAAACCTTTACGAACATTTATGCTTCAAACAGTATATTATGCACGCGTATAACGCCTCAGCATATTCTTCTTCCAGCGAGTGCGTTGTGCAAATAGGTGTGCAGAAAGCGTCACTCACGTGCTGCTTCGGGAGTGGTTGTGACACTTGTGTTTTCGGTCGTTGTAAAACAAATTATCTACCAAACAGTCGCCCACTTTGGGGAACGGTCTCACAAAACTGGTCTAGTGAAGTGCATGGTTACAAAACCGTGTCACGAAGGCGCATAGGCGTGAGCAAAACTGGCCCAGCAAGTGTGTTGGAAAAAAGTTTTTTTCTGCACGCGGTGTCCTCTACAACGTGCAGAGCTCATGATCGGTAAACCATTTCCAACTCTGAGTGGAGGCCTCTCATGTGCAACCATCTAGTGAGGGTATTTCCATCGCTTACCGTTCCCACAAATTCAATGAGTACTACTTGAATATCCACTGTGTTTGACGAAATTGCGGAGTCCCACTTATTGGACCCGCATCACAGATGCGGCTGGTAAATCCTTTCGGGATGCATTTGTTTGCTCGCTGATTGGAACCTGTTCAAGTGCATGCGGGTGGCCAGCAATGCCAGATCCCCGCTGCATTGCGTATACTTCACCAACATCATAAAAGAAGCGCATTCGTGCGTACTCTCAGGAGGTTCGTTTTGAGGCAAATTCCCTTTCTACATGTACTTCCTGTAAAGCAGTGTCCCCAATTGTAAAGGGCATTATGTTCCCCTGCTGAGAATGCCAGCCTCAAATGTGAAGGAAGCTGATGCATGCTCGCGCAAGGCAAATAGCCACATTTAATTCACGTGGAAAAGAGCCACAACCCTAAATATCTTCTGAGTCACCAACTGGGGACCCTCCGCTCTCTGACACTATGCGCTTGATGTGTCGCACAAGTTCACAGCTGCTTGATTCATTGTAATATGGCCCCTCGGAGTTGTTGATGTCCTCCTTACCCCCCATGCTCGTCTGCGTACCCCATCGTGGTGTTTAAAATCCGAGCATAATTGGGCAACTCAGGCGTACCTTAGCTGGTTCTTAGATGTTGCGTCCAGCCATGATGCTGCTTTTTGCGCTGGCACTACCCACTAACTTGTGTGAGCACTGCACAGACTATTCGGGCTTATCGTCCTGTGAAGACCTCAGTGTGACGATGGGGTGTGTTCTGCTTTAGCTCGACATTATAGTACCCGCTTCTGTCGTGAGTGTTGTTATGATGTATTGGTACGAATGCGACATGTAGAAAGTGCAGGGAGCAGGGCCATCGGATTAGACAAACTTGGCTACTGCTGGGCTACTCCTGGCAATCGGATTTGTATAGTGGCTCATGCAAACATGCCAAAACGAAAAGGCTAAGCTTCAAAAATTGTTTGGCTGGACGTCCTGCAACGGTAGGATGTGCTTGTGATATATAGCTTGTGAGCCAGCTGCACTCGGTGCGAGGGAATCAAGTCACGTGTGGAGGTGCTACCTTTGCCATTTTTCGTAGAGTGGCTCGCCTCGCAAGAAATGAAAGCGCAGCAATTATGCTAAAGATGGCATTTGGAAGTGCTGCCGGCGATGTCGTCCAGTTTGTGCGTTGCTTCTTGGAAATGCATAGAATGGTACACCTGAAACGAGCAACATCGTGTCCGAGGTGGTGTATTGAAAACAAATTACTTCTTGTGTTCGTGGCATAGGCATCTCCGCGTGAATGCAGACACGTATCTGTGGTGTTGGGGCCCAGGTGAGTGCCTCTGGCATGCGGGAGCTAGGCGGTAAAGGGGGACTGTGATTGAAATGCTGGTGATTGATTGTGTGTACAAATCTGGAGTTGCTGCTCCTCTGGATTGCGAGCGTGTCATCAGAGCTTGGAGAGTAATTCATGAGTTTGATGGCCATACGGTGAAGGTGTGCATTGTGATCTTTCGGCCAAAAAGCAACTATCATGAATCCACTGTGAATAGCATGCGACCGGAATGGAGCTAAACGTGCGGTTGCCGAGGTTGCCCAAAGGCCATGGTTAAGTAGGCGAGCACGCAACTCATTGGTGTTTCAAGCCGGGTAGGTGGCCTCAATGGAAAAGCTGTTGACCCCCATTACCTACCGTTTGCCACTTGGGTAGAGCACGAGGGCCTACTGTGGTCGACTTGTCAACATGCTTATCTACAGACGGTTAGTTGAGATTACCCGGTATTTGCTCTTTGACCGCTTGGGTGCGTTTGCTCATATCAGCGTTTGATTTTTCAATTTGGCACTGTATATCTGTTGATGTATGTAGAGTGTTGCATGTAAGCCAACTGACCTGGCAGTATGGCATGTTGCAACGCACACTTTTGTGTCGGGCTTTGCTGAGGCATAAATATGGGACGGCAGCGTTTGGTGTGACAGTGGGATTATGGCTGGTTTAGATATAGAGGATAATAAGGCATAGTAATCCATTAGAGTGACAGGGTAAAATCCGTGGAATACAGCTTCAATGGAAATTCAGTTTGTGAGTGGCGCTGAGTAACTTTAGCGGGGCCCGGAGCTGCTTCGCATGTGTGACGTCTGTGAAAGGAACAGGCATACGTCATTTGCAGAATGACCGCTATTTTTTTTTATCGAACACTCACCTAGAGTACCTCGTCATTTGCAGCAGTGCCGGTTTAAGGTTGCGGCTTGAGGACAACCGCCTGTGTGAAAGGAACGTGTGGGAAACCCTCTTACGAAATGGCAACCTCCTTGGCCCGATGTCAGTGCATCTGTTCCATTTAATTGCCCTTCTGTAGAGGCGAATAACGTCTATTGCTTCAAAATGGTCAAATCAGAGGGCGGGCGAGAGAGCCTGCGACACGCACATGCTGGGTTATACCGGGGTATACAGAATTCAACTAAGAGGAACGAAGCTGAATTAACGGTGCATTCGTCCGGAGCCCCGCAGAGAGGGGAATGCACCTAATAATAGGAAATTGAATTGGCGGCCTTTCCTACAAGTGGTCAACGACGCGTAGGGGCGACTGTGTACTTGCTCCTAGCTTGCATTTTTGGGATTGGTTTGACAATCCGGGAGGAACAAGTCCTTCTTTTCCAGGTTCATGTGATTGGTCGTTTAGTTGGTGTACGTATACTTACCAATGAAAGGAAACGCGCGAGTAAATAAGCATAGAGGGCACTGCAGGTACTGTGGAAGACGACGAGAACGACTCTCCCATGCAGCTGCCGAATGGGCCGGTAGCACCAGGCGATCGTCACTGGCTACAGGAATGATCCACGTCTGGGGTAGGTTGCCTTTAAGATGCCAGCATCCGGTCTGATCGCCTACCTGTCCGGGAGTGAATAATAACCCGCTAGACAAAGTAAGAAATTGTGGTGCTTACGAGGCTGCGTTTGTTCTATCAATTCGTATTCATGGTCATGGTGTGGATGCCGCCTTCTTATTAGCACATAGTTAAGAGTGCCGATATGGTGGAGCAAGACGTTGGAGCCGCGTCCGTAGATGTTTTCTAGCTAGTACGTCATGCTTTTCCACTACAAGGAAGAGCGCATTTTTCATCCCAGGCTATGGCCACTCCAGTGACACTTGTGAACTCCCCAGTAGAGCGCAGTCAACTATTTCTGGCTTCCGTGCTGCTGCTATGCCTGCCTGCGAGAAGAGCAGGCGCGTATGGTCGCAAGGTGGAATTTCCTTTGTACGGTCCAGCACCGCAAGCTTTCTGCACTCCAGATTGACCTGATGGCACTTCGACTAACTTACAGGTGCTCGCAAAAGAATGAAAAAATGGGTCTTACTAAGGTTGGAGTGTCATGAGTACCCTTGTGAAGGAACATAATCCTACTCAACGCTGCAGCTGCCGAATGTGCCAGAAACAGGAGGCGACCGCAAAACCAGGGCGAATGAACTGTGGGTGATAATGGACTTGTACAATATTGTGTCTTAATATCATGCTCTGCGCAGCTTCAAGCGTGCTTTGATGGTTATGGGAGTGATGTGCAATATTGTGCTAGATGGATACGTAGGTCTCCGGGTACGGCCAGGTTGATTCCTGACTGATCGGCTGGCGGTTACGTAGTGAATACGAATTGGCTAGAGATGTAGGGCCCAAAGGGACGCGAATGACTTGCATAGGTGCATTTGGTCAATTGATTCGTGTTCATGATGTGAATTCAGGGTCCGACTGAAATTTTGTTGAAAAACGCCAATCTGGCGAAAGGAGGATACGAATCGGGTTCTGCGATAATGCTTTAGTTTGTGCGTCTTGCGTGCGCATTGTAAGGGAGTACATATTGTTTCCGTCGCAGCCTTCTCTGCACGCGTTCCCTGCTCTAGTAGGCGTATCGGGAGAATTAATCGGCACGGAAATTGACGGTATTATTGCCCACGCCAGCATGACGGGGGAGTATTCTCTTGAACGCTTGACAGCTCGAACGACGATGCAGGCACAGGATGCAGATCGTTGCACTTGATGAAGGAAACACTGGGGACAGGAGCATATGCGTGCTTTGTTGATATCTATCGCAGGGTCGTTCAGGGTCGTTGTTCTGCGACGAGTGTATAGAAGAGGGCCTATTCTGCGAACTACGCTGGGGTGGGTGACAACACTAATGAAAGCTGTTTTTTGAATAGTGCAGTAAGGTATTGGCAGGGCATGTGCATCATTGGCGATGTGGAATGGTGCAGGCTGGGCTCTCCTACTGTAAAAAGCAGTGTAAACGTCTGGGTTAAGAAGTCGCAGAGTTCGGTACTTGGGACTCCTGCTTGTTGGTTTAATCAAACACGTTCGAGGGGCCTCGATGTCAGAGTTCTAGTTGGTAACAACCTGCTTGCCTGCCGTAGGGAAATTATTGTCATAGTGGTGCAAAATACCTGCTTCGCCGTGTTGAAGGATCGTCTAGACTTGCCACGGAAAGAGCCATGCGGTTTCTACACATGCATGAACGGAGCATAGAAACAATAGAAGCCTAGTGTATATGCGGCGAACGTTCAACGTCGATAAAGAAGGGAATGCCATGTTTAGCCTTTATGGGTGTACATTCATTGCTACGTTAACAGGACGGTAACAACGGGCTCCCCGGATTGCAGGACTGAGGTTATTGATTGATCACCAAGAATCCGATGAAGTGGGTCATTCCCTGCTTGATGTGTGCTCCTAGGGCCATTAGGTAGCTTAGGGCAATCTGGGAATTTGGGAAGAGTGGTGTCATCCCGTTGCAGACTGTACGTGGTGTTCAACCATTCAGCATTGACAACAGCTTTGCGCATTTCGCGCGTGATTGCTTCCTCTTCATGGAAAGCCAAAAAGGCTAAAATGCAGGTACACGTGCTACTATACCTACTTGAATTGCAGTTGTTGCTCCACGCAGAGTCGCGAAGAGCAACAACTGCTGCTGATCTCCTAGCCACCTAGGAGGTCAGCGGATGTGTAGTACACACACCAATTAGGGTTTAGGGTTTAGGGTTTACTAGGGTTTAGGGTATCCTAGGGTTTATGTATTGTGTAGATTGGCTATAGAATTGGTTTTTGCACAAGATAATAAAGAATAAAAAAATGTATATAATTAAACAAGGGTTTAGAGTTTATTATTTATGAGGTGAGGGTTTAGGGTTTACTTTGTAGAGGTGTAGGTTGTGCATCAACAGCAGTTAGGGTTAACGTTGCAATGCGGGTGCAGAGATATGCTGGATGTGGTTGTATTCGACGGGATGTGGCCTAGCTCAACGAACTGTCACGAGAGAGTGCTCAACGCATTATAGGTAGCATTTGGCTGTAAGGAACGGAGCATTTACAAAACGTCTGTTCCATCTCTTGAGGAAGATATTCCGAGAAACAAAGTTTTCTTTTTTCAGAGTAGCGTTGGCTGAGTACAAGCACAACCGGGTCGCTGAGTGAGAGTAGAGCTCAAGAAGGTGACATACTGCACAAGATATCTTGGGAAAGCGAGGGAATGATCCTGTGCAGGCTCAACCACCCATCCCACTGGATGCGGCCTGTGTAGATCATTATTGCTCCTAGATACGGGCGGCTGTGATCGAATGCGGCGTTGGGCTGCTTGTCTACCACGGTTGTCATCAGGTAACGAAGATCCCGACGTAGCGGTGTGGGTAGAGGACAGCAAGCCGTAACCAGGATAGCAGCAGCATTCCGGAGGGCGTTCTCGTGGAGACACATATATAATGCACATGCAGAAAGTAGGTGACGGAGGGGTTTCAGATATTGTATCAGCTGCCAACCGCATTAGGTTAGATAGGTTAGGCGATGAATTCGCTGTCTACACTCATTGCATCCAGGCCGCTGTCCGGCAAAAGTATTATTTGGGATATTCAGGAAAGGAATATTCTGTTTACTTGTGAAGCTGCCTAACCCGATGCTTTTGCTTAGTTATCGCGGAATCATCTACACGGGAAGCTCTTGGCAGTTTTGCATTTACTATTTGCCGTGTAGCCGCCTGCGCTGTAAGGGCAGTCATGGGTAGACATATTATCGTGAGTAGGCAGTACAGTCAAACTTTCGTCTGCTTATAGAACTCCTGAACTGCGCATTGTGGAGGTTTTGCAGCCTGTGCGTCGGACGCAGACAAGAAACAGTGGGGCCTCATTAACGGATGCTGAGGCTATCTGCAACAGTTTTGAACAGATGCCATAAACTGGCCCTCTCGCATGGACATGCGATGAGCCACTGAAAGACGTCTTTAGAACAGAGGAAAGGATGGGGCATCATCAGAGCCCTATCTAGATCAAATGTGTGATGTGCGATGCGAGCACCTCACTTCAACCGAACGATTCGCAGGCAGTACGGAGATGAAACTGGCAATTCAAATGGCACTCTGCAGCGCCATATGGGATTCACACATTTCACGGAGCTTAGTACTGCTTCCAATTGAGTCGCATGTGGCTATCAGCGGAGTAGGGCAGCAGTAAGGCCGAATATTGGATGATTTTCCCTAGGCGCGTCCAAATGCGTGGAAGTGTGACAGTGGACTTCAATGGCAAGCAGATCAAACCTGCCAGAAATGGAGTGTTCAATACGCTATCCCGCGGATCTAAATGGCATATTACAATGGGGATTTCAGGGGGTGCGTCTTTGAGAAATTCAAGGCTGTCGCGCTTGGCTGCTTCTTTTGGCGTGGCATGCTCTTTGGCAAGTTAGGGAAGATGCACCGGCCATATGGTTATTGTGCGAAGACCCTCAATAAACTTCGGTTGCCGAAAAAGGAAACCCGACTGCTGACTTTGAAAATGGCTCATACGAGTGCAACAGGATCTTGAGGTGCTGCAATGAGCTTGGGAGAGTAGTGATCGGTCGGCGAACGCGCCAACCAGAGAGTATGTGACTTACCTACCTGCTGCTGAGCAAGGCATCTTAACAAAAGCCGGCGGAGCGCCCAGTTAAAAATTTTGAAGGGTTTGCTCTCCACTTCCAATTGGTGCTTTTTTATGAGTTGCGTCTAGGATGCCCAACCCGCAAGCATGATTTATTCTGCAGGGCAGAATGCTGATACTGTGGGGAAATGTGATACAGTATCTCTGGATGTGTGAAGATAGCTTCTTGCCTTTGGCTGGTTGCGTTAGTTTGTGTTTGTGGCTGTGCAGGCGCAGCCCGATTGATCAACCAGTGCATGCCACTCAATCAGTGCATGCCGCTGGCCGATTCATACAGAAGTAGCAAATGTTCCGAGAACTTCCGCACTGTTCCCACCAATTCCTTGCCACAAACTTGAGATACACGTTACCAGCGTCGATGCCTATGAGCGACAGCGCAGCCTTCAACGCTGTCGTTGTTTCAGTTCCTTGCATCCAGTAGACCGCTCGTGTTCAAGATTATTAGAAGAGACTTTTGCGTACGCGATGCAGCTGCACAGCTAGCCAAACAAGCGTAGAGCCTCAGGTAGAGCATTCGGCAACTAAAACAGTAGTTCTACCGTTTAAAAAGCAAGTGCGTATCCAACAAGCAAGCTTCTGCGTGCAGAGTGTGAAGAGTGGAAGATGTGACCTCTTTCGAAATTGCATCGCTAGACAACTGTTGACTTCCGTCGTTGGAGAACGCACTAGAGTGGCGGCCAGTGTATGTGCGAGCATCGTACGCTTGGATAAAAACCGGTTGGGGACTCATGCCAACCAGGAATATGGCAACAGCATGTCTCCTCATATCCAACTGCATTATTCCACACTGGTAGTTCCACACACTCAGGAGATGCTTTTGTTACTGGATGAAGCAGATGACCCACTATCATTGACACAGGCCCCTTGTAATCTGTGAGCAAGAATTAGCAGTCTGCTTGAGCGCAAATTTGCATCTGGACGAAGATAGACATTTAAGATGGAGATCAACGTGCATTAATCGTCAGATTGTGAGTCGACAATCCGTTCGTAGAGCCGATAGTGAACATACTTCATTTAGGAGAATGTTTACTAATTATCTACAGCATTTGCATTCTCAGCGTTTATCAAAGAGCTTCATGCAGTGTTGCAATACTCACAATGCTAGGTATGTTTTAGTGCGAGGGGAAGGAGCCGTATCACGTTTCCAGTTTTATCCCTAAAACAGCTTGTAGTCAAGCTGGGTTCGGCGTCTATCAAGTGCACATGCATGCGGATCAGTTGGCAATTTTACGGAATAATACGATTTAACCATTCTCCGAGTTTTATCAGAGTGACCCACGCAAACGCATCACTTTCAGCGATGGCAAAAACATCGTTGGAACTGCGGGGAAATGCAGCTAGTGCGCGGCCCTGTCACAATCCATTCCGATACAGAGCGAAAGCCTTTGTTTTGAATTACTGCCCATTAGAATTCCGGCTACGGAGCGTACCCGTCTTTGAGTGCAGCAGCAGGGACTGCGTTTGTCTGTATTCCAGGAAGTATGCTGCAATCGTGTGGGTAGCTCGGTTGGCTTTCCACAAAGGCAAGTGTGCACCAGCGGCATGCACGCAGATACACTGCTGGGCTCAATGGCGGAAACACGTCCCGATAAAATGCATTTACTAAAATTCCGTGCCGTCCCTGTGCCATCCCTTTATGGAACTGCACAAAAGACACTGCTGGCTTGTGTAAGAGTCTAGTAGATGAATTGCCTGAACGCCGTTTGCTAGTAGACGCACTACATACAAACTGACTTCCGTGCGGCCTAACATTGGGGTTGGGAACAGTTAAACATGTAGAAATCACGGTGACTCCTAGTTAGTGTGTTCTCATGCTCACAAAGGCTTTGTTGCTCGCCATGCGATTGTGGGGGGTAGCCACAATATCCAACAGTGCTTCCGCTCTGACGGTCCACTACTCATTTGCTTGGCCAATAGTTGCGACGAGCTTGGGAGGCCTCCAAAAGCATATCATCTGACTTCGACAGCCACCGCATCTTGGACCTTCACTGTGTGGATTGTGTGACACCAAGCGCATTTGGTAGGCCTTGACGTGCTTCCTTAAACAGGGGCGTTGCTCGCAAACACCCACCACGCACGGTTGGTTATTCTACATTGCAGTGGTTGAGGCATAACACAATACAGATCTGCAGCTACCGTAGCGACAGAAGGCTAATCCTTGTTGAGTATATTAATAGCGCCGAAGATGATAGAAGTGCGTGCGTGAGCATGGGACTGCCTGAGTCATGTGGAGCATCCCCAAGTGGATTGCTGCATATGAAGTCGGTGTGTAATGGAAACTCTGCAATGGGAAGCAGCTGAGAATACAAATATATGAGTTATTAATGCATTCGGCTGAGTTTGAGAATGCTTGAGGGCGGACGTGCCGCCACGGTTCCTCTTGGACCGCAGGGCGTAAAACCAATGTAGTTAGAGATGTAAGAGTGTCGTTTTCGTTGATTTACGAGACCTAGTAGCAGTCGCAGAAAAGCAGGGTTGCAGGCCACAATCTGTACTCAAACGAACCTCAGAGCGTACGCATCCGCCCACAGTAGGATAGCTGCTGGTGGGGATAGTCATAAATGCCTGATGCGCGTTGCAATGCATTTCATGCCCGAAAGGACAATGCAGGCAAACTGCTATCATGGGAAGCAAGCGGGTTTGCGGTGGTTTGCTTCTAGATTTTTGGTGTGCTGGATGCAAGAAGAGAACGTCAAAACAACAAGGGAAGGGAATGCTTCAGGCCTTACCTTTACGACAAGCCGGTGCCTGCCATCTCCCTTTCGTGCACCCTACGACGTCTCCCTGAATGGGAGGCTTTCGAGGCTCTCCCCCTTACCCTCCTTCTGTGTGCGATCTGTAATTCGGTGACTCTGGTGTGTTAGACCCTCGCAGATCGTGAGTGTTTTGCATGTTATTCTCTGTGCGATCTCATATTGCAGACAGTGATTGCAGTAAGCAAGGACACCCGGGTATTTTTGCCTAGTTTCAAAAGAGTCTAGAGGCCCCGAGCCGCGATGCAGGCAACGACCCTTTTCAACTCTCGAGGGCACGTAGAGTGCACGTGCAAGGGCCGCGAAAAGCTTAATTCCAGACAACCGTTGTACCTCTTCGCATGACGATTGTAACGGGCTAAACGCTGTCTTGGCAATGCAGGCTGTGAGCATGATCAGTG